TTGTTCTTTTTGCTTATGTGGTGCTGAGGAATCGAACCCAGGGCTTCATGCATGAAAGGCAAGCACTCTACCACTGAGCCACCTTTCCAGTCCCCCAGATAACTTTTTAATGTTAAGATTATCTTAACATCCTTTTGAGGTTATTCTTGGAACAGTAAAGATGCTTCAAAAGCATGCCCTATAGAGAACCCTCCCCCACCCCAAATTGTTACAAAGACATTTAGAAAAGATCCAGAACACTCCTAAGTACAAGGGAACATTGCATGTAACTACTTGGAAGGTGTGGCTTCTGAAATAGCAACATCAATTCTGTAACATTTGTCTTTAAAAAGTTACTTAGAAAAAGTATGTAATTTACTAATCTAGATACTTCAGCTTTTTCAAGCTGAATGAAATTGACAGGAAGATTAACTGTTAAACAAGAAATTGTTTCTTTGTAGCCACCACCTGAGAGCCACCGTAGAGATGGCTAACTGAACCACAGAAGCAAGTTTATGTTGAAATTAATCTCTAAGTGGGAGCTCTCAAAGTTCTGCTAGTCCCTGCCTTCTTGGAAGCTCACCTTATCCACCTATCTAGTGACCACATTACACACAGTTCAGTTGCTGCCTTTGGGCAAGAGGATTCATCCCAAGAATCTCTTCCACCAAGTAACTTTTACCCTGTCCATCTCCTACACTCTGGCCTAGGAACAGTTGCCTCTTCCTCACTCAGATCTCAATCATACTTATCTTACAAAAAGGCTTTTTGATCTTTTCCTCTTACCCGATGTCTTTATTCCACATCATGTACATACCACCATCATTCACAGTACTAGGTGTTAGATGCTTACTTTTCCAGGTACTGGGGACACAGTAGTTAGAAACAACAAAAAAGCCCACCGCACTCCATTTTCTGCACCTAAAGGGCACCCATTATAATGCTCATCACCTTGAGCTGAAATTGCTGTCTCCTGGGCCTTATCTTATTCTTGTAGCTCTACTGCAAGGACTGGCTGGAATGTAGGTACCAGATGTAAATGACTTCAGCTGCATAACACATCACATCAGCTCACAATCACAGCTGCTTACCCTCCTTCCCATCTCTTTACAATTTCACCGTATCTCCTCCCATAATGTGTCCATTGGGTTTCATAACCTGCTTAGCTAGGTAGAAACACACACACACACACACACACACACACACACACACACACATACATATCTGTACTTAAAAGGCTTGCTACCTCCTGTATCCCCAGTACACTGAAGGGGCTCATAGCTCACCTGTTACTTCTGTTGCTGTAGTTATGGTGTCTCTGACGTTAAGACAGAAATAAAGTAGGAATGAGAGAACACAGAAAATGCCTCATGAGAGGACAATTGGGGAACTTACTTTCTTCTTTCCCTTTTTAGCATTGCACAGTGGAATTCTAATATGCTGTAAGGCACATTACTACTTAAGTGACCTTTATTCTCTTATTTGACCCTTCCAATACTGTGTGGTTGGTAGGAATAACATGCTAATTTTTTGTTGTTGGTCATTGGGCCTGAACTCTGGGCCTAGGTGCTGTCCCTCAGCTCTTCAGCTCAAAGCTAGTGCTTTACCACTTGAGCCATAGTGCCATTTCTGGCCTTTTCTACTTATGTGGTGCTGAGGAATAGAACCCAGGACCTCATGCATGTAAGGCAAGCACTCTACCACTGAGCCACCTTCCCAGCCCAACATCCTAATTTTTACAGGCAAGGAAGCTACGACTCTGAAAGGGCCTCACTAAGACATCCATTATTTATTATTATTTAAAAATATCTTCTCCTCCCCCCCCCGTTTAAGATTTGATTAAATGATTCCCATTTCATCATGATCAAGACACATTCTATCAGATGGTCTCCCATAACCAAATACCCCAAGTTAGTGGCACTTTTCCCACAGGCTCCAAACTGATTAAATTGAACCTAGTGCATCCTTGGAATAAATAGTGCTCTAAAGCCCTGGGGCATTGGCTTCGTTTCCAATCAGCTTGAATCTAAGAGGGAAATGCTAAGACTGACTCAGAGGCATCAACTATCCACAGCAAGCTCTTGACTCTGGCCTGTACTAGCCTCCTAGGAGAGCCAGTCTTCCTAGCTGAAGCTGAGGAGTGAAAAGACAGGACCATCATTACAATCATGTGTAAACACATACTACATACAAGTAGAATAATGAAACCTGCTCAAATTATTTTTTTGCTCAAGGCTATTGCTCTACCACTGGGAACCACAGCTCCACTTATGGTTTTCTGGTGGTTAGAGATAAGAGTCTCATGGACTTTCCTGCCTGGACTGACTTTGAACTGGGATCCTCAGACCTCAGCCTCCTGAGAAGCAAGGATTACAGGTATGAGCTCCCAGTGCCCAGATTTAAAAAAAAAAAATTTTTTTTTTTGGTACATTGTAGGGCTTGAACTATGGGCCTAGGTGCTGTCCCTTAGCTCTTCAGGTCAAGGCTAGCGCTCTGCCACAGCTCCACTTCCAGTTTTCTGAGTGGTTTATAGGAGATAAAGAATCTCACAGACTTTCCTGTCCAGGCTGGCTCTGAAGTGTGATCCTTAGATCTCAGCCTCCTGAGTAGCTAGGATTGTAGGCGTGAGCCACTGGCGCCCAGCTTAATTTTTATTTTTTATTGTTATAAAGGTGATGTACCGAGGGGTTGCAGTTACACAATAAGTAAGGTAATGAGTACTTTTCTTTTTGGACAACATCCCCCTTTCCCTCATTCCAGTTTGAAATTATTTTAAGGAGGAGTAGGATGGGAAAGAATGATATGTTAATGGGGGATACATTGTATTCATGTATGGAAATGTTACAACCAAACCTCTTTTGTACAACTTAAATATGCTAATAAACACACACAAACCCACAACATATTAAAAAATCCTTTATTTACAATTGAAAATTTAAACAGATAATCTTGGTTCCAGTCTGTGCACTTCCATGGTCTCTTTATCTAATGAAGTGGTGGCAGGTGGGGAAGCAAAACCAAGAGCCAGAAAATCATCCAGGGCAAGGGAAGACCTACAATGGCAGAAATGGGGTGGTCAGTAAGGGAGTAGGAATTAAGCTGCCCAAGGGAACCATGAAGGGCCATTCCCCAGCTCTCTTTTATACTCCTGATTCTTTTTTTCCCAAAGAGCAGAACCAGCTTCACTGTCAGCATAGGTCAGACCTTTGGTTCCCTAGAGCTAAGTGGAGATGTGTATTACAAAAGAACCAAGGAGAAATAAACTTTGCCAAGTATATGGCTTCATTTATTATTTACCCTTCCCAATTCTGCAGTATATATTATCTCTATGCTAAGGAGCAAGCCAGAGTCACAAGAGGATTAGTGGCTTAACTAAGGTACAGAGTTAGACAGAAGTGGGGTTTCCTGGTCTGCCTGGCTATCTCCAAAGCCTGTGTCCTTTGCATCAAGGCTCTGTGGAGCTCCAGAACAGGTTTTCATCCAAGGAATACAGGAGGAAAGTTCACACTCTGGTTATAGTTGCAGTGTACTTTAAAAAAGTGGGTGAACTGACTCAAGATACTCTTGTCCCCCTTCTTGGGCCACCCCCCAATGTGCCCACACCTTCCTCTGAGAGACAGTGCGTCCAGGCATCATACTGCAGACAGCAACAAGCAACCAGACCACTATGATGAGGATGATGATAATAAAGCTGCTGCTGCTTCCTCCTCCTCCTCCTTCTTTTTCCTCTCTCTCTCTCTCTGGCCAGTCCTAGAGCTTGAACTCAGGGCCTGGGCACTCTTCCTGAGCTTCTTTGGCTCAAGGCTATCACTCTACCACTTGAGCCACAGCACCACTTCCAGCTTTTTCTGTTTAGGTGGTACTGAGGGCTTCATGGATGCTAGGCAGGCACTCTACCACTAAGCCACATTCCCAATCCCCCCTATGATTATTAATGTAACAAATCCCCAACTGGCCAATCCTGAGACAATAAACTGACAACCAGAACACACCAGAACACACTTGTGAATGGGGCTGTATATGCATACTTCTCACTTTCTGCTGCAGTCCTTTGTCTAAACCTACAGCTTATATTTGTACCTCAAAGATGGCTAAAGATGGGCTGACATATTATTTTCCTGTGGCTACAAAGTCTCCTTCCCCTGCTTCCACCATGTCTTTATTTGGCAAATGGCCAGACCTGACATGTGAATTTCTAGAATTTGCACCCAGGATCTAAAAGTCCCATTTCAGGCCCAAACTGAAGTATGTGAAAATACCTAAGTACAACCTGTATGTTGCACTGTACATCAGGACCTAAATCTATTAAACTAGGCACTGTGTTAGTCAACATGGTTCTTGGTTCAAGAGTTCTCAGTCCAGAGAAAAACAGATGGACATATTTGTGATACATTGTGCTACATGCTAAAACAGAAGGAGGAAGCAAGCAAGTACTGAGGAAGTACCAAGCCAGGAGCCCCCCACTAGGCCTGAATCTGGGAGGAGATGGGGGGACTAGGGAGCAATATATAAACTAGGGAGCTACAGGCATGCTTCTAGGAAGAACTGAGAGAGATCAAGTTTAGTTAAAACTACATATATAGTTATACACATGAACTATAGTTAAAAGTATGTATATAAACTGGCACAACCCTGGAATGCCAGCACTAGGAAGGCTAAGGTAGGAAGATCACAAGCTTATGCTACCTAGTGAAACTGAGGCCAGCCTTGAGACGTAAGAGACCCTGTCTCTTATGAATAAGAACAAATAAAACCACCTACATATATATGATATGTATTTCTCTTCTAAGATGCTTGCTCAGTTAGGAAATTCAAACATAAATAGGACTATACAAACTAAAAAGAAAGTCTGTTACTATCTCTACTCCATAGAAGTTTCTATTAGTGGTCTGCTATTTATTGCTGAAGAAATTTCTGAAAGTTAGAGAATATAAATTGTGTCAAGTTTACACAATGTACTACATCTTGATCCACTCAGTTTACCTTGGAAATCTTGCTAAGAAGACAGATCTTCTACTTTTTCTTTGTAAGGCTGAACAATATTCAGTGGAAGAGTGCATATGTTCAATACCTGATTACAATGTTGCAGCTTTGCTTTTGTACTAGATTCTACTGGAATGAGGCCAGATATTCTCCCGCTCCATCCTTTCCCCACTCCATCCTTTTCAGCTGGCAGAGCCGCTAGCTTTCAGAGCAGGCAATAGTGTCATGCAACAGATATGCAAGTAGGAGCTGCCAAATCTCACAGGTGTCGAGGATAGCCTCTTATTTTCATACAGAACCTCTTCTTTTGCCTGAACTACGCAGTGACTAGGACTGGTCTCCAGCCCAACTTTCACATTATAGCCAGAGTCATGTTCTGAAAAAGGAAGTTCAACTGTAGTATTTTCATCCACAATTTTTTTCAATGAATCCTATTGGCTCGGTTCTTTTTGGAGATTCAGGACCACCTCTGAGAATCTCAGGAGCACAAAAGCCTCTCCAGGGACTAAGTGATTTATTGCTTCACTTCCAGTTCCTCCCCTCAGAATAGTATGAGCTGCTCAGCATGGTGCTGCTGGCTTTTGGAACTGGCCCTGGCCTCCCTTCTGCCTCATCTTGTTTGCTTTATCTCCTCATATTAAATTATATAAATTCTGCTTATATTTCCTATTTTTATGCCTTTGTATATGTAGTTCCCTGTGCCTGAAATACTCTCCCAGATCTTCCTGACAAGTTTTCTTCTTTCTTGTACTCTTGTGCAGCTGTCTTTCCAAACTACTACAGGCAGACCCACACTCTCACATCTCCTTTCCCTTGTTCTAAAAACTTCCAATCCAGTACTATACTGTACTGGTCCGTTTCCCCAAGAGATTACACTCTTTGAAGGGCTTCTCAAATCTGTAGCCTCATATGCTATGGGGCCCACTTTAACTAGTGCTACCACTAACACATCTTTCAAAATCTTCCCCTATAGTATATATCACATCTCCAGGAATTCTAGAATGAGGTCCTAGATTGAACTCAAACAGCACCTTCAGAACTGTAATGATATCTATCATCCATAGGTACAATTAATTTTCAACATAATCACTATTTGAATTCTAATATTGTCAGAGATGGAGGCACGGCTCTGGTGGTACAGTATCAGCCAATGAGTGAAAGCATCAGATACTGAGTTTGAGGCCTGGTCTCAGACAAAAAAAAAAAAAAAAAAAGAATTCCAATATTGCCTCCTTGTAAGTAAAATTATATACTAACTACAGATTTTTTTCCTAAGATGTAAATATTAAAAGATAATCATTGTAGTGTTTCCCATTTATCTTTAATAAGTATGGGAAGCACCCAGACATTAAGTTGATCATGTGCCCCAAATGGCTTACTTGTAGGGAAATTTGGACTACAAAGAACTGAGGAAAGCCCTGCTACTTGGTACTGGTACCAGACCTGGAAGTCACAGGAAGGGTGACTAGCAGAGCTGCTTAAGATTAGAGCCAGTTCTTTTTTATTGGTCCTTAAGTTCATGTAAGCAGTAGGAATCCAGTTCTGACTACAACTGACCCATTAAGATGAAACCAGGGTTCCTACAACTAGAGCTGTATAGAAAAATTCAAGGTCAGAACCTCAGACAGCAAAACTCAAAGAAGTTGTGGAAGAAATATTACATAGGGAGGTCCAGCTGACCTCACTTGTCTCCAGTCTCCTATCTAGTTTCCTCATATCATTTTCTCAGAGATAGAGCCCAGGACCTCAGCTGCATGATAAGGTAATACCTTGATATCAATACAGTGGATTCTTGCTGGCCCATCAAGATGTCTTTTCCTATGTTTGACTCTTTTCTTTTCGAAAATGTTATGTTCTCAATGGAAAGACAATTTTTTTTCTCTAGACAGAGCCTTGCCATTCAACATCTACATCAATTTTACTGCGGGCTGGTTAGGAATGAAAAATTTCAGCCTCTACCCAGGTTTGTGTGGGGCAGGGTGGGAGGCTCATCATCCTATCCCTGTTCTTCCCAGCTGTGTATCTCTAATTTTACAGCAATGTGTCACACTCCTCAGGTTTGTTTGGGGCAGAATAATGGTAGACAGCTATAATAGATGTTAAATTAAATTGGATAATATTTCTCACACTTTAACGTACACATAAATCTCCAGGAAAATTTGTTAAAAAGTTGGTACTTTTGCAATAATGGAGGAAGAACTATGGCAGGTTAAGGTTAGTAAGACCCCAGGATAACACAGAAAAGTGGTGTGAAAGTAAAGAATTTCTAAACTTTATTCTTTTGGGTCTCACTAAGCAGTCCAGACTGGCATGAACTCACTATATAGTCCAGGTTGACTCCAAACTGCCCATCTTCCTGCTTCAGACTGCCAAGTGCTAGGATTATAAATTGTGTCACCACATCCATCTAGTGATCAATCTACAGAAGGAAAAGGACCTGTAAGCCTCAACTTTAGTCAAAGCAAGGAAATGAGTAAAAGAGTAAGAAATGGACATCAGCTATTGATAAGAAAGGGCAGGTTTAAGTCCAAGGAGCCCTGATTGTTGGCAGAAAGGAAGAATCAGGTTATCTACTAGGTCTGGATAAAAGAAAGGTTTGTATTACTCCCAGCACACGTGGGCATTCTTTTCTCAGCATTTGTTCACTCCAGGTCCCAACCCCAAATACTTGCCATTCTGCAGTTCACTTGTGTAAACTTCTTTCTTTTGGGGGGGGTCTGATCGTGGGGCCTGAACTCTGGGCCTGGGTGGCGTCCCTCAGCTCTTCAGCTCAAGGCTAGCACTCTACCACTTGAGCCACAGCGCCACTTCTGG